TGCATATGTGACAGGCACACAGACCACCCCCACAGACTCACACTCTTGCACACTCACTGACACACACACACACCGGCATGCAGACCCCACACTCGGCCACACCCGCACATGCACACACATGTGCATATGTGACACAGACCGCCTCACAACAGACTCACACTCTTGCACACTCACTGACACACTCACACGCTCACTGACATGAACCCCACACTCAGCCACACCCGCACGTGCACAAACACGCATATGTGGCAGACGGGCACACAGACACCCCCCACGGCCTCGCGCTCTTACACACTTGCTGACACACTCACACCCACTTGCACATTTGTCTTTCACAGGCACTGACGTGCTATCACACATCAGCAGCACGCAGTCCTGAGACACACTCCCGTGCGTGCACGCACATATGACTCACACACCACACACTGCTCACTCACTGATTTATTCCCTTTTAAAGTCACGCAAAACCTCATAAAGAAAAACTGCCAGGCCTTTTTTTTTCTCCCGGGCTGGTCTTGAGCAGCTTTCCAGACTGGCGGCTCGGCGCACCCAACGCCCTCGCCCGCCCCCACCCGCACCAGCCACTCACATTCTGGATCCGTGTCAATTTTCAGACGTGACGCCGGGGACGAGTACTGACTTCGAATGGTGCCTGCACCCAGTCCTCAATTACCTAAGCTGGAGAGGGAGCGTGGGCCCCGGGGACACCAAGCCCTGCCCGGGTCTGTCTGCCGTGCTCTGAGTGCTCACGTGATGCTCCGTGCACCCAGCCCCCCACCATCTTCCCCGGGTCGTGTGGGGTTTGTCCTTCTCCAGCCGAGGCTGGAGCTGAGCAGGTGGATGACAGGGTTTCAAAGGGCACCTGTGCTGAAGATAAATAGGGGAAGCCGAAATGTCAACAGAACAGCACTTGGGTAGGGCTGGTGCATCAATAAACTTCCAGCTTATCCACAGCAGATCTCATTTTCCTGAACAAAATCCAGAGGAGGCCAAAAATAAGAAGCTTTCTTAGCGTACAGCATCCGAGGCCACAGCCTGCTGTGAGATACGCACATTTGCCTGAGAAGGTGGGGGTGGGGTTTGTGGACCACAGCATGGGGCGGGGGCTCGGGAGATGCCTGGCCTTCGGGCCCCCCGTGAAGTCCGGCGGGCTCAGCCACACGGAGGGTGGAACCCCCGTCCTCGCAGGCCTCAGGGAGACACACACCTTGGGTCTGTAAGTTCTGTGACACAGAGGAAGGTGCTCAGCCCTGGACCCAGGGGTGACCGGAGCCCCCAGCTCTGCCGTCGTCTTACCTCACGTCCTCTCCATGTCTCCGTTTCATGAACTCTGGGCAGAAGCCGAGTGGGGAACAGAAGGTGTTTGAGGTCATCTTGTCGGCTGAGCTGGGGGTTTTGAGACTCGGTTTCCCTCCTGCGTCATGTCAACCAGCCATGTGCGTTGCATGCTCTTGGGAAGAGATGTGAGGTGCAGGCGGGGGAACCGGCTCCTGGGAGCAGGTGCATGGGGGACAGGGCTTCTAAGATGCTGATGAAGAGGTGGCACTCCAGCAGGGCTGTGAAGTCAGCTAATGGAGGGTTTCGGTTTCCCTTCTGAAGTTAGGATTAGCGCTCATTACCAGAAGAGCGCTTCCGTGTCATGGTGGGGGTGGAGGGACCGCTGGTGGAGCCCCCAGAGCCCCCACCTGACACTGCTCTCTCTTTTCCACGCAGTTCCATGTCCATCCGCTGGCCGGGCTGCTCCCTAGGAAGCCATGCTTGGATACTTATAGCCATGTTTCAGCTCGCCATGGATCTGCCCTCGTGTGAGTCCCTGGGCCCGGGCCCCGACTTCCGGCTCCTTCCCCGGCCGCCGCAGCGGCCGCCCCGGCTGTGGAGTTTGAAGAGCGGACAGGCGGCGCGCATCCCCGTGCCCGTGTGGAGCCCGCGCCCGGCCCGCGTGGAGCGCAGCCACGGGCAGGTGCCGAGCCCGCGCGCCAAACGGGCGCACAGACCCAGGGACCAGGTGGCTGCCCTGGTGCCCAGAGGGGGGCTCGCCAAGCCCCCAGCCGCTGCCAAATCCAGCCCTTCCCTTGGCTCCTCCTCGTCGTCCCCGTCCCCCGCAGCGGGCAGCGGGGCCACCACGGACCAGCAGGCCCTCCTGCGGAGGGAGAAGAGGCACCTGCAGGGGGCCGGCTTCAACGGTTTTGATTTCCGGGGCAGCAGGCCCACCACAGAGACGGAGTTCATCGCCTGGGGCCCCACGGGGGAGGAGGAGGCCCCGGAATCCAACACATTTCCAGGGCTCTACGGCCCCACCACGGCCTCCATCCCACAGACACGGAAGACAACTGTGGCCACCACCACCGCCCCCGCCACCACGGCCACCTCCACGACGCTGCAGACTAAGGGGGTCACTGAGCCCCTGGGCCCCAGGAATAGGATCCCGGTTGGGCTTAGCACAACGGAGCCTTCCACCAGTCCCAGCAAAGACGATGGTGAAGACGTCAAGCCCCCACGGATTCTGGGGGAGACCTCAGGTACACCCACCTCTTTTCTGCTTGGGGTTCGGTTGGTGGGGGGAGGACACCCTGGGGGTGTGGCTCACGAAGGATGCTGTGCTGTGCCCGGTGACACTGCGTGGCAGGCCTCCCCGTTTCTCAGCGGCAGAAACCTAACAACGGCAGAGTGCTGATGGTTGGGTGGCGGCCTTGGGGACAGAGGGGGCATGTGTGTCCATGGACTTGCGGGTTGTGCTCTAGCCAAGCCCTTCTGGCTGGTGGAAGGGAGACGGGACAGGGTCTCTCCATAGTGGTGGCCTAGAGGGAGACGCTGTGCCCGCCTTGCCTGTGTCATGGGCGTCCAGACCCCGCCAGGCACAGAGCCACGTCTTCCCAAATGGTAGAACCTCGACCTCTGGGCCAGCCTGGCAGTGAGATGCGGACACTCCTGCTGGTGGAATTAGGGCCCAAGTAGAGTACCCAAAAACCTTCAAGGCTGTGGCCTGTGGAGGGGCGACTGCCACATTGGCCCAGAATTAGGGATCACTTTAAGCAGCAGAAGAGATTAGGTCAGGTATAAGGAAGAACTTCCTGTGGTTGTTTGCTGAGGCTCTGCAAACTGGCTCGGGTTGGGGAGTATCTTCCCTGGAGGCGATGTCGCAGGTGTTTGGGGGACGGGGTCAGAACAAACGGCTCTGGGTCCTCTGCCCGTTGCTCTGGGTGCATAAGGACAGTTACCTCGACATATCTACTGCAACGTAGTTTTGTCTTTCTTTCCTCTCCTCTACCTCCTCTTCCAGTTGCTTCTAAAGGAGTGGCCCTTGAAAATCTCCCAGGCCACAGCCCGTCCTTCCAGGGCTAGCCACAGGCACGTCCCCAGGCTGAGGGCGTGTGCAGAGTCCGGGACCCCTGTGCTCCAGCCCACCTCTGGTCCCGTTTGCTTCTGGGAACAGGCCACGACCCCACGCCCCACCAGGAGCAGGATGTTCACAGATCAGATCTGGGTACGCACATCCCAGACGAGCCGCAGGGTTGGCTAGCTCTTAAAATGGGATGTGAAGTCCAGGGTGTTGGCACGAAGGGGTGGGGCTGCCGCGTGGCCTCCGCGCCCTGTTTGTTTGCTTCTCCACGTCCTGAGGCCTCGGGGTCCATTGTCCCCATGCAGGCCCTCTTCAGGACCCCGGACAGAAGAGACTTGCTGCCCAGGGTCTGTCGGCAGCATAGTTTTTCCTGCAGGCTGCATCCGCATGAGGCTGCGTCTGGCCGTGGTCAGGAGTTGGATAGGTTTTCATAGAGTGGGTGGCTTTTGTTCCATGACCTACTTCCTTCCTTCACCTGGACGAGAGAACTGCAGTTTTTGTATTTGAGCAATTCTTCCCTATAGAGCAACAGATCTCTGAAAGCAAACCCAGCTCCACCTCAACGCCAGGGGCCAGGGCCAGACCCAGACCCAGGGGCGGAGGCTGTGAGCTTGGAGCACGGGGGGGAGAAGGTCTGCAGGGGGTCGCGGGTTGTCTCCCGGCCAGCCTTTGTCCAGAACCTGTGCACACACAGCCTGCCGTCCATCACGTCTGCGCCAGGTGCCCGAAAGCAGTTTATGAAAGCATTTGTTTTTACCTCAATAAACTCACAAGCCATCATCATAATAGAATTTAGTGCCGCATTCATTTACTGTCATACCCTCTACACACATCACTTACTATACAGGCACGGACGAGAAAACAAGTTCCCATTTATTCCAAATTACATTTGTTATTACTAAAGTTAAATGCTTGGGACAGCATTAGAAGGCTCAGCAAATTAATTCACAGTACACTGGATGTTGCTAATCCAACTCGACAGATGCTTATCTTGGAAAAGATTTATGGTTCTTCATAATATAATCTGGTACTAGATTAATTTGTTTAGCAAAACAAATTTAAAGGGGGGCAGGAATACATGTGTTTGCTTTTGGTGCAGAGAAATGTTAATTCTGGGAAGTGATGTTGGATGCTGAGAAGGGGCGTCAGCAGGTTTCGGCATCCAGGCCAAGGCAAGGCAAGACAGGAAGTGCTGAGGTGACACCTCTAACTAGGTCCGTCACAGCTCAGCTGATCCCACAAAAGTGACCCAAGCCACCCAGGGCCCTGGCGGGAGCCCCATAAATCCCCCTTGTCCTGGCAGTCACCACACATAGACCTGGGCTCTCGACTCTTTGTGGAGCACTTCTGCTGCTCACCCTTCTCAGGCAAGATTAAGGCGGCAAGGGTGGGGAGATCCCAGAGGGGATCCCAGAGGGGATCCCAGCGCGGTGGTCCAGGAGGCTGGGCATGCCGTATGCGCTTGCAAGCCGCAGACCGCCTGCGAATCCGGACTCAGCTGCAGGTAGCTGTGTGACCCTGGGGACGTTCTCTTCTCTCTTGGCTTCATTTTCTTCACCAGAAAAATTAAAGCTTAGAAATATCTCTTCCAAATGGTTGTCGTGAGGATTCGGTAGAACAACATCAAGCATGAACTAAGAACCCTGCGTACATGCCAGGTGCTTCTATACCCAGCAAGAAGGACTCCAAGGAGAAGCCTGCAGGTGTCAGGGGCCAACAGGCCACCAGGGACATGGCAGTCTTTTCATCTGAGACACACCAGCTCTGCCCACTCACCACTGAGGGCACCCCAAAGGACAGAATTAAGGTTTTGGAAAGCAATAGGAAGAATTTGTTAAGTCAGTTCTGTTGTCCAAAGAGATGTCTTTGGAATCAGGTTTGGGGAGTTGTGAGTTTTTATTTTCGCTTCTGTAGAGAGGTGTGTGAAGGGGAAAGTTACCTTGGCCCATCTGCCCAGAGCACAAATATCAGTGAGCATAGAAAAGCAGATGGCTGGAGATTTGGGGCACCCTGAAATCCCTCAGGAGTGAATATTACGTGGGATAGCTGCTGGAATCATCAAACGGCCCCTCTCCCAGAGACCACCCCATAAATGAAGTGATTGGAAAGTCTCTCCTAGTTTTAAGGTAGTGGATAAGAGTGTCTGCCTTCGAATTTCTGGCTTCCTCTTGTATTAGCTGTGTGAACTTGGGCAACTTGCTTACCTTCTGTGTGCCTCAGTGGGAATTACAGAATTAACCACCTTATAAAGTTGCAAAGATTAGTGAGATAGTGTATGCCAGGTGGTCAGTGCCTGACACATAACAGCTGTTCATTACATGTTTGCTGCTGTTAATATGGTGATGATGATGGTGATGAAGATGGTGATGATG